TTCTCGCCTGAATGCAGGAAGCAAGTCTTGGTTCTCTGCCATGCCTCAGATGTGCACTTGGGTCAAGTTGCGACATCTAGGCTCACGCGAAGAGTTCTACCTGTTCAACACGCACTTGGACTACGTGAGCCGCGAGGCGCAGATCAAAGGCGCCTCTCTCATTGCCGAACGCATGCAGGCAGAAGGCGGCAAGACCGCCAATCTAATTCTCACCGGCGACCTCAACTCATTCAAATACGAATCGCCTTGGAATATTCTCACTGGGAAGGCAGTGGGTTCTCGGGCCGTGACCCAGCTTGACATGAAAGATGCTTGGATGACTGCTGAGGAGAAAATAAACGACATAGATAAAACGTTCCACGAATCGATGAGCGTCGCAAACCTGGGTTATAACGGCGGCGATCACATTGACTACGTTCTGTACAGACCCGCAGATGACGGGAACGTTTGGCGGACAAAGTTTGCCATGATCGTCATGGACTATGATGACGAGAACTATGTCTATCCGTCCGACCATTATCCAGTTCTTGTCGAATTTTCCATCAACGAGCCGAAAAATTCGTCGACATCTCAGACGAATACAGGATCTTCAGCAGCCATTTCTCAGAATAAGACGTCACTTGAGGATGAAATCAATTTGTTTGGGGGAAAATTGTAAATTAATTGAGTGCTAGTTGTTTGTGCTGTCACGTAGGTCACACTGATGTTGTCGTTGAAGCACACAAATGCGAGATTTTTAAAAATGTGCACATACTAGCAATTTGAGCAAAAAAATGTTGTCTGTGAGAAATACAATTATTTTCCATGAGCTGCAGTGGATTTCTATCGTAGATGAATATCTGGATGCTTCGCTTCATTTAATTTTATGTTCAAAGATTTTAAGTAGGATAAGACGTGCTAAAAACTAATGTCCGATAGAGGAGACACTTCTATTAAAAAGGGCATTTCATTGGAAAATTTGCTTCCTTCACCTCAATTCTCAAACAGCAAGCATTTTAAATTTTGAAAAGATGGGATTTATCACGTTTTGATTAATTATTTTCACTGAAGGTGACTTAAAACTGATCGTAGAACTAAAAATATATTCCGAAGGGTAATTTTTTCTTCAAATTCAAAACTTTCTGAAATGACGTGATGATGCAAGTTGTGTCATTTCGCATTTCGCAATACAAATACATTGCAAAAAATGCAACAGAGATTCAATGCATTATTACAACTAACCAAAATCAATGAACATACAACAAAAATTACATTTTCTTGGTTTTCTGTCACGAATCTTTTCAATCTAGCAATAATTGCGGAAAGGATAATTTCAAAATGAATGCCAAAAACAAAGCATTGTCTTTTCTTACTCGCAATTTAAATAAAAAATGAAATGTTTTTCCAACTCCTGATTTTGTTTTAGAAATACGAGATATTCACAATGATATACATTGCAGTATTAGCAAAGCTGTCCCTGAAAAAGGCCCGAGCTACTTTCAGCAAAGAAAATCAGCAAATGGTGGAGGCAATGTGAGATTTTCGGAGGAAAACTGACAAGAAAATAAACAGAACGAGAGATGTGGGATTTTGCCGCATCAGCAATGAAAATTGGGCTGCGGAAAAAACCTACATCTTGGAGTGAAAGTAATTGTCAGACTGTGTATGGGGGTTTGTTCCATTCCCCAGGAAAACAAATGGAAATAAATTCCCTGACTATGAGGGTGAAAGATCATTGAACTTTGGCCATGCTTCTCCCCCTCCTTGACAAAACCTTGAGTGTCTGCTTCCCCCAGCTGCTCCCAGCTGTTGGCAAGCAAGAATTGCCCTTTCTTGCACTCAGAGTTCAGATGCCCCTCAAATAAGGGACATCTTCCCAAAGAAAGGCCCAGGAGATTCATTTTGTGTGAATGGGTGTATTGTAAATTAATTGTTAAATCTTCAAAAATTGACATAAATCAGCAAAAACTTGTGTGTTGACGTACCATTGTGTTTTCCACCTATGATCCAATTTAGTTTGCATTTGGTTTTTAACTTTGCGAGAAATTGCAGTTTTAGTTTTACAAACTTGTGAATTTTCTTCAGTTTATTGTTCAAAACAATGTTCTTAACTTTCCAAATTTTTGTGGTAGGGCATTCAAATTTCAGCTCCACAAAGGAAACAATGTTGGTGTGCATGTAAAAAAACATTGGAAAAACCTTTTCAGTGGTTTTTTTTAAATTCCAAAAGTTAGCATATGCAGAATTTTCCCATGTGAAAATATGTGCTCATGTTTTTTTCATTATGTTTCCTGTTTGAGTATTAGAACCATTGTACAAGGGCAGTACAAAATCACCTGAGCATATAATCCAAAACAAGGTGGTTATCCATTCAAAGTACCATGCAATGTCTCTTCTAAGAAAATCCTCAAACAAATAGCACAAAACCAACAGGCAACTTGTTGAAGAGTCCTGAGTAAATCAAATCAAAGTAATTTACTCTAAATACTTTGACAAGTAATAAAATGCAAAAATGCTATGAAATTTGAAAATATTCATTTTTTGTTCTAAAGTGAAACAGGTTTGTTGATGTCCAAATTTTTCAGGGGAAAATAAATGTGAAAAAAACAAATGCTTTAAACTTTTAAAATATTGATCTGTGATCTTCATCATCTACTACGTCCAACTTTGAGTATAGGACATCCTTATGGTAGCGGCTGTCTTAAAAATTAGAAAACATCCTGAATAAGTAAGCTATCCGTTGTCGGAAAAACAGCACTTGAAACAGAAAAAGACGCACTTTTGCGAGATAAATTCCAGATTCTCGAAGAATTCAGTTTTACCGTGATTCAGAATAGTCTGCGAAGTTAATTTCTCGAAATGTCGCCTCTCAGTAAAGGAACATTGAGAGGAAAAACCTTCGATAAAAATCCTCCCAGAAACATTTATTCGTGTTCTACTTTTCCTTTGCTTGAGCTTTAGGACAAGAAGTGCTTGTTTCACAATTTTACTATTCGGTGTCTTCGGAAACCAACGGATATCTTGCAACAGGTTCATCAGATTACAATGGCAACAGCTTCCGCGTGAAATCGTTTCTGGATTTGGCATTTTATTGCTCTTGGGGACTAACCTGAAGCTTCTGGCTCCGCAATTTTCCAAAATGCATGGCAATGTCAAGATTATGACGTTCAACTTGTGGGCATGGTATTTAAAAGACGGGTTGAATGACTGGGAACAGAGGAAAAATCTGGTCGTGAAAATGCTTCGAAAATACGAACCGAACGTGATTGGCACACAGGAGGCCACACGAGAGCAGTGTGCGGAATTTTTTCCAGCAATGGACACCGCCGCAAAAAAGAAGGGAGATGTTGACTTGTAATTTAATCGACGCATCCCGGGATGCGCCGAAAAAGACAAGAGCCAGAAATAAAAAATTGTTCCCCAGGAACTGGGGCAATTTGAGCCGACTGCAAAGTCGGCAAAAACAAGAGAGGGGAATTGCTCCCTTCCAGTAAAATTTGAACTGGGGGACAAAATAAAAACATGACCAGCTGCTGGTAAAAACGGGCGGAAATGTATCCATTCCTTGAAAAACAATTTGTCCTGAAGCCTTGGAAAAACTCGTAACTGCCCAAAATCCTGTTTTCTTCAGAAAATTATCTTCTCAGGATATTAGTTTACTGCTGAAAATCCCTGTCAAGCTTGTAAAACCTACACCCGGTGCCGGGAAAAACATGCACAGAACCCCGAAAAACAGCACTAAAATTTGCTTTCAGCTGCCAACATCTGGCACTGTACAAAACTTCAAAAATCCCAGCACCTGGGTGTTTTTCTGTCTTCGAAAAATCGCGCCAAAACGAGTGGGAAAAATTGCTTAAAACCCCCCGAATTTTGCGTCACAAACACAGTCAGGATTCGAAGGCCAACAGGCAATTTTACGCGGAAAATTGGAAATTTGCGGACTTGTACAAAATATTCAAATCTTTGTGGACTTGCACAGAAATTGTAACCTTTACAGACTTTACGAAATTCTATACCCTCCTTTTTCTGAGTGATGTGAACATAAGTCTTTCCAACTCTGGAACACTTGTCATAATCTTCTTTTGAAATCCCTCTTAAAATCAATTTCTTGAAATGAATAATTGTGAATAAAGCTCTTTTTTCCATCTCTGGAACAAAAATTATAACCAAAGATTGGAGACCTATCAAAATTTTGTTGTGAACAAGAAAACCTCATCAAACTTTTGGGAAAACCTAATTGTTTTTAGTGCTTTTGTGTGTTTGTACTGTGTGCCAAAATCACCTGAGTCCAGTTCTGGAGCACTCTTGCATTTTTTGCGGGAGAAGAAGGTGCTGGCGACACAGTCCGAATTTTGCCGTCGAAGCGTTTCGTTGCGTCGTGAATCTTGTACTTTGCGGAAAACCTCAAAAACTCTGTGAAAACTGTTGTGAATATTTTATACTGCGGAAACTGTTGTGCATATTTGTTGTCTTGCTTATCTATTTTTCTGTTGAAGTATTTAAACAAAGGCTTGCGCTTTTTGGGAGAGAATCCCTGGTCGGTTCGCGCACCGGCCAATTGTTGTGTTGAATTTATTTTCTTCATATCTGACTTGTCCTCGAAGAACTATCTTTTAATTCCTGACTTATAAGTACCAAATTAAAAACTTGTCAACTTAAATTATTCTAAACAGTACTTGCAAGGTGTAAGCTTATCTATTTTTCTGTTGAAGTATTTAAACAAAGGCTTGCACTTTTTGGGAGAGAATCCCTGGTCGGTTCGCGCACCGGCCAATTGTTGTGTTGAATTTATTTTCTTCATATCTGACTTGTCCTCAAAGAACTATCTTTTAATTCCTGACTTATAAGTACCAAATTAAAAAACTTGTCAACTTAAATTATTCTAAACAGTACTTGCAAGGTGTACGGCTTGCTCCAATTTATTTCTCTTCTCGCATAAAACCGTACACTGAGAAGTTTAGAAGAAAGTTCTTTCTATTTCGAATGAGCTTGCGAAAATGGGACAATATATGCACATCACGTTAGGACTGAAATATTTGTCTTCCTCTGCCTGTCAATAAGCAAGTCACGAGACTTTAAAAAAAATTAGCAGCAGGCAACCTCGTAAAATCACGCTGAATAATGGTGAGGTGCTGCTATAGGATTGACTGGGACCCGTGAATAGAAACATTTTATCCAAACTGCTGAGTCTTGCAACGAGAAAACATTAAAACCTTCTCCCTGGAATTTTTTAAAAGTAGTTAAAAAATTGTATTCCAGGATGGAAGCACAATTCACTGAAAAATTGCCACGTATGCTGGAAATACTGTACTGTAATTCACCCTGCAGATATGATCATAGCTGCATCGTTTTTAAAATAAAGTTTTGTTTCTCCAACCGATGAGTTTTTGAGCAGTTGAACATGTCCTCAAAACAGCATTTACCGTCTTATATGTAATTTTGCACATTTGCGTTAATTTACAGTACTCGTATTTTTTGAAGATAATAGATTCGACACGCCATAAGCTATGTACCGCATTCTTGAAAATGTTTTGCAATAAGAAATCATACACATTTTTCCGCGAGCATAAGACGCATTTCATCGCATTTATTTCCACATCGCTTCTATTCTGGCTTCAGTATATCCAACTTAATGTCTTCGGAGAGCCAAGGGAATTCGTTTTTTTTTTTGCTTTCTTTAACTGAAAAGTAAGTATGCCTTCAATTGAATTTCATTTGATTTTCATTCAAATAAGGGCGTGGGCCAGGAGCAGTCATTATAAACTGCAAATAATATTCACTATTCAAAATTTGACGCCAAAACATGTAAGCCGCCATCAGAGATGATGCGGATAGTTTTTTTTTACAGCATTTTTTGGCATCGTTGGTGAATAAGAGCGTTTTAATGTCTAATTAGGGTAGAGTCTAATTATACATGACGGTATTTTCTCAAGTATAAGCGTTCTCTTATATCCCTCAAAGCTGTTCTTGGCTTAGCTTAGAGCGTCTTCGGTTTCTCACACACGGCTCTGTATATGTAACAGTAGTATGTAGTACCCGTTGGGCCCCATGTGTACCCTTCGTCATATTGGCGCACATGAGACCCCGGCTCCAGCACGTCTGTTGCTAGAATAACCTCGACTGGCTCTACACAGTATAGGAGTGGTGGAAGACAGAGTCGTCGGGAGGAATTGGGGAAGAAAAAAGGGGTTTTGTTTTACGGGGGTTCGGCATCTCGGTGAGGGGTTTTTTTTTTTTTCTTTCTCCTAGCTCCAAAAGGTGCTGAGCCGTGAAATAGATATTCGCTGGAAAATCTGCCCTGCTAGAACCCCGTTCTTAGCCGCGTCTCCGTTATTTGTCTGGAAAATATTGCCGTCGAATATTTTAAGGCGAATAAGGGGGGTTCCGCTGTCGCTGACGGGTTTCTGTCGATGGAATCCCATTCTCCATATTTTTATCTCTTTGTTTTATTTTTTTCGAGGTGAAGGTAATTTTTCTGAGAATTCTGAATCCTTTCTGATCGAATGCTCCGTTCTTGCTCAACTGGGTTGAAATTGCTAGTATAAAATTTTCTAAAAGTACACTTCATCACTGGATCGGTTCAGGAGGAATAAGGTTCGTCACTTGCACATTTTGTAGATATTGGCCCATATGTATAAACAATGCGAATGTATAAAATATAATCGAAAACTTTTCGTATAGAGAAATCCCAAGATTCAAAAAACCGTGGTCCATTGAAAAAAAAAATAAAGTGCTTCCTTCGCTTGTTGAATTTCGTGTTAAGCTATGTGGAATATGGAATTTCTCGTGTACTGTTCGTGAGCGAGACGTTGTTCAAGTATTAACTTCAATGGAACAAAATCCTTTAGCGGAAACCGGAGACTTACTTGAAAAGTTATTTTATGTGGATACATATTTCATTTATGATGATGAGGAATCTGTTACAGAAACCAGTGTAACACAAGAATATTATTTCAAGGTACTGGCAGAACTTTTCAATTATCCCTCGCACGGTATTTTATTTCATATTTCATCCATATTTCATATTTTCGTAGTCGGCCCATGTGGTACCGAATGTTTAGAATGTAATCGAAATTGTTTATGCATTGGTTATTCCCAAGATTCGAAATTCATGGCCCAATGAAATGAAAATTTCTTTCGCTTGTTGATTTTCGTGTTGAGTTACTCTGAAGAAAATATACTGAAGAAATGTTTCTCGCACTGTTTGTGACTACCGAGACGTTGTTCAAGTAATAACTACAGTTAATCAACAAAATCTCCAAGGAGTAAAACAAAGACTTACTTTAAATGTTATTTCTTGTGTACTGCATATATATATTTCATTGGTGGCGAGGAATCTGCCACAGAAACCAGTGTAACGCGAAAATATCATGTCAAGGTGCTGAGAGAACTTTTCAATCATCCCTTGCCCGGTATTTGTTTGCTGGAATAAGCGTGAATCCGCAGCTTTCGGGATTAAGTTTCGTCCTTTTTCAGGATCCCTATTCTCTACTTAATTTCTTCAGATTCAACGTTCAAATCCTTTTCTGCATGATGTGTTCTCTTGGTAATCCCTCCTTTAGCGGGATTTAATGTTCTTTTCCATATTCTGGTTTTTTTTCGGACACTTTCGGGTGTCAGCGGGTTTTTTGATGCATCAGTCATGTACAGCTGCAGCTTCAAAACCCCTGATGGTCCATTTCTGTAGGGCGAAAAAAAGCTTGAGACCTGTTTCTTTTAGGTGGAATCGTAAAAAAGAAATGAATTACAAACAGGAACCTAATATTTGTGGAAATGTAAATAAGGAGGTGTTTAGAAACACGGATTTATGGGAATCAGCAAAACCGCTAATCTCCCTAGGAATCTTGTGGGACGAGAGTTGACCTCAAGTTCTGAGTTCTGATGATCTTCTTTGAGCAATGTGTCATCCTTCAAGGATTATTTTAGGAAATCCTTGGAAGTTAGCAAGGACATCTCTGTCATTTTTCATTGAAATAGTTTTCTTGGTCATTGTTGACTGATTCATAATTCATTTGAGTTCCTGAGTCCAAGATGAGTAGACCTTGCAATAGTCCATTTGTTTTGAACTGCAGTGTTTTGAATTATTTGGTTTTTGTCTCTGATCTTTGTGTTGCCCAAACAACTTGATCTCTACACTTGTGTTTTTCTATCAAAAAGGAAATACATTAATGTAAAACTAGGTCTTTTCAGGTAATCAAGTATTTCATTTCAAGCATAGATCATCAAGTATTTCATTTCAAGCCCGTATAATCAAGTATTTTGTTTCAAGCTCGGGATTAAGCTCCACTTTTCTTGTCTAGGTTTTATTCCCAACAATATTCTCCCAAAATCCACCATAGGCATAAAGCCTGGAATGATTGCGAGAGATCTTGGACTCGGAATGGACGATCGCTATATACCTATTACAGTTGGCACAGAACTGCGTGTCTTCAGACCCAAAACAATGCAAACAAACGACCCCCGTTGGAATCGATGCTTGCGTATATATAGGCAGGCACTCATGATGACTTCGTTCCGAGAACCCGTGACGATTCGAAGGGGCACGCGCATTTTCTGTTCGGCAGACATTCGGGGGGTCATAAGCCGTGCTGGACGACAAGCAGGTTCTGTGCTGGCGGAACGGAAGCCGCTTATGAACGTCGAGGGATCCGGAAACCCCCTGTATTATAATGAGTCCCGCACGTTGCCTTGATTTCCTGCGAAAAACACGAGAGCCAATCCAGCTCTCAGGATTCAGTCTTTATTCGAGTGGGGGGACGAGGAGTGCGATAATTGCGCGGGACAAAGGCAGATGCACTCGCTGCTTCCGACAGCCGTGAGACGAAAAATGGGGACGACGCGAATTAATTGCGAGAGGGTGTCTCGCAAATTTCCTTGAGCAGCTGGCGACTGCTGTTCATTCCGGGAGACCCGTATATATGCAGCATGCTGTGCTGACCAGATAATTTTGTACCCTATTTTTGAAGGAGCAAGTATTTTAGTTTCGAACTCAACTGATGATTTTATTTGCTTTTTTTCGATTGGATGAGACTCAAGTGGTGAAAGTATAGTACAATATTTCTCGGATTTTCAATCGATTCAAGCCTGAAAGCAGAACGTGACAAGTCATGATACTCACGAACCATCTGCATGGTACAACAAACTTGGATATCTGTTTTCCAAGTGCTGATAGAAAAATATATTCAAGCTTTATTGGCGCCGATCCAATAAAATATAATATGTATATTTTAATATATATATATACACTTCAAACAAACTCAAATAACAAGTAAAATTATATAAAGGAAACTTCCAAAAATATGCAAGGATGCTTCCCTGAGAATACCCACTGTGATAGTCCAGGAGATTTTAATCCTTTACTGGATCAGTGAGGTGCTTATGTAAAATGTGGACAAGCATATATTGAAAAAAAAAAGCCTCAGAATAATTTCTTAGGTGTGATGAACGATTCCAAAATTACACTTTAATAATCCTGTACTAGCCAGTAGAATGAGAATCTTGGGAAACAGAATTTTGAAAATTAAGATGAAACGCAAAACTTAACGAGACAGCCTTAACTACATGCAAAATTGCTCAAAATTTTGCAGTAGAGAAGGAAACACGGGAAAATTGCCCTTTTAATTTTTTTAGGAAGTTCTGAGTCTAAATGACTTAGGTATCTCCTGCTGGGGTATTTGAGCAAAAAATTTGAAGTGTTCTGTGTTTTTGGGAGCCTATATGTGTCTCAAGAAAGTTTAAGACTATTTAGGATAATAATTTTTAACAATAGTGTAGTATCCTTTTTTATACCCGAAAATTTGCGATAGTGATATCAAAATTATATCACATTTTGTAAGCCACTTTATTTCCATAAATAATATTCGGGGCAGCGTATTTTTTCTCTATGGAAGAACGGCACTTTTATTGGAATTAATTTGTCGAATAAAGAATATATTTTTGCGCAGTACCATCGAGCAGATTTCGGAACAACTTACCATTGGTACTTTTTTTTAGAACTAATTCTTCGAATGCAGAATATGTTTTTGCGCAGTACCTTCGAGCAGATTCGGAGCATCTTACCATTGGTACTTGCTGAACTTATTCGCGAATCCCTCGCAAAAAAATCCATGTGATGTTTTATTTTTATTTTTTGCTGAGAGGCGCCGTCGAAAGCGAAGTAAGGATCTTTCAATGGGCGTAAAAGAAAAGAGCACTTAGAACCGCGTGAGATGACTCTTGCCCTAATTCATGGGACCTCAGACGCGCGAAGTACCGAATGGGTACGCCATATAGGTGAATGCCAGGGTGAATAGTGGAGGCCGTAATTTCTTTCGACCTAAATTCGTGTGCTCTGATTTTTTTTTCTCTCCTTCGTCTGTCTGCAATTACGATGCAGTCGGTGGGGTTTGGGGAGTGCTGCGAGTCACCCGAAAACCTGTGTAATATGTGGGCGAAAAACCTACGTGGATAATTTTAATTGACTCATCCCGAATTTGCGCAACGTGTGATCAAAAAATGGCGAAATGGTATTGATTCTTCCAATGCTAAAGAAATAGGAAAGGTCTAAAGTACAACTGTAACGAACTTTCCATAATTCCAATCTGCCAATCAGCTCCTTTGTATCAATTTTCTTTGAAGTTTTAATTTAGCTCCTTATTCTGGGCATCATTTCTTCCGAACGCTTATTTTCGTGGCTCTAAAAACAATATACAGTAAACAGGTTTATCTTCGAATTTTTTTTTCGATTATTTCTTTCGCAGTCTTTTGCAGACCAAATAAGTAATTGTTGTAGATGATCTAAACGTTTTGTGTGTGTGGTCTACTTGAAGAACTAATGTGAAAGGGAACCTTTATTTTTTGCAAGTAGTTTGCAAAACTTTGGAGAAATCCCTCGTGATTTCTTCGGTGAAGTGCACTACTCAGGCCTGTCATACGTTTAACCCCATTCCACGTACTCCATCGTATATACTGAAGTTCTCCGCTTCTTTCATTTTTTTTCTTGGAAAGAGCGTATTTTGACGTAGAACTAGATCTAGTAGACATGAATGAGTCCCCACGCGACAATCTTGGGATTGCGTTATCGTATATACAACAGGAAGTACAGTGGAGTATTTAGGAGGAATGGGGTTACAAGATCACCAAGTGGTTGTGACGGAACTGCACTTTCCCACTTTCTTTCTTACTGTGAATTTTTTTTTTCACAGTAATTCATTGTCTGATGTTTTGACTATTTATTTTTTTATTTTTCATGTTGATGATTAAACTGTATTTTGCTCAGTAATCCATTCTAAGCGATATTTTCTTGTGATTTGACTCATTTGAGTGACATACTGTAATTATCTTCAAGAATGTCGCATGTTTAAATGGAAGGAATCAATTGTGCTGACATTTTATTGTTCGGTAATGGTTTTTTTTCGAGAGGTTATTTGGAATTTAATTCTCATACGATGTTTGATACCAGCAAATGAAATGAGCGTTCATTGATGGATGGTTAGGGAATTATTTTAAACGCGTTCCTGTTTTCTGTGATTTGTTTCGATCTGTATCTAGTCTTTTAATTTCCTTATCTATACGTGCTATGCCTTGAGATTTCTTCACTAATTCTAACGTTGGGTTTTCAGCAGTGGAAAACTTCTGTGCTGTCAAAGAAGAGTGGTTTTTTGTTTCTAAAAGAGCAAAGGGCTGAAGCCATGTCTGCCGTGAGGCTTTCCCCAAAAACTCATCATTATCTGGAGGCATGCATGAATAAATTGATGAGAAAAGCTTCTTTCAACTTTGATTTCTCGAGCTCTCTTATATATTTTTTTATCTACAGCAGTGAAAAAAATATGTTCTTTTTTTTAGAAAATTCTTAGATTACTTTCAGCGTGGTTTCTGTATTTCTAGTGTCATGTAACTCCTTCAGTCGAAATTAGGAAATTGAACTTATATTTAACTGCGTTTCCAGGCAGTTAAATATATTCGTGTGTCTGTTACACTACTGTTGGACGTGGCAAACCTTCAAACGAATCTTTTTACGATAGTCTTATTTTCTAGTTGCATAGAAAAAAGGAAGATTCAAGTGTTGAGTAAAATATTCCGCAAACTTCATCTTCGAGCCTTGAACTGTAATTCATCTAAATGACAAAACCTTCGTCTCTGAAGGATTAGTGTTTACGGTATTTCAGATTTTTATTTCGCCTATAGATTGAGAAAGGTTTGACACAAGCTACCTGATGTAGAGTTTTCAAAATCATAAAATCTTGATTCCGCTGGTTCAGAAACCGGAGTATATATAGAAGCCATTTTATGCTTCCGTGAAAGTATTTTGAGATCTGTTTTTTCGATCGCTTTTTTGTACTTTTTCTGCGAAAAAAAAAACGCAAGACTGACTCAGAGTACTTTTCAGTATAATACCCTGGTATTCTGAAATGATGTATGACGCAGCCTTGGATCGAAGGTTCTGACAATGATGCAAAACAGTCCGACGGAACTGCTCAAGGTTGTATAATGTATACGTATGTGAAGTTAAATGGAGGGTATCCGAAAATGGGGAAATTTCTCATGCGAGTTGTTCTCGAAACTCGGTAAGAAAAATGACGCGACGTTTTCTGGGTCTGCGAAAGTTTGCACGTGCTGTTGGCTGGACCTGTGCCCAGTGAAGAGAAAACGGCAATATTTGATATCGATCACGCTGTCCTCCATGTAGAAATGCCATTGATTTTGAGATGAACAATGCTCCTCAGGCCTCGTTTCTTTTCTTTTCAAGTGAGCCTTTCTTCCGTGACCGAATGAATCTCTTTCTTGACGGATATTCTCTCATAAAAGAGGGTCTTGCAGTCGTTAACTTGGAGACGAAAGAGCTGGAATATGAAGAAGATATGATGGAAGAAGAAGAAGCATGCTTTCATAAAATGTTGCCCGTACGTGCTCCTCAGAATTAAAGGAAAAAGAATTTAATATACTGCAAGTAGATTGCTTCATGAGCATTCTACAGTCTAAATTGCATATTTACAAAAGTTACTTTACTCCCATTCGATATGTCACGTAAGAAGCAGGAAATTCACGTTGACGCCGGAATAATTCGCCAAAATCGATAATTTGAAACTGAATTATAAATAGTTGAGATTCCGAGGTTTGCTTTCGAATTTACAGTACAGTAGAGTAATCTGAGCCTCGCCATGTCAAACCTCTCTAAGTCAAATACTTCACTAAGTAGAATTTTTTTTAAAGTCCCTGTCTGAATTTTCTTAGAAACAACGCATTAAAAACCTCCTCCAGTAAAAGACTTTTCCTCTAAAACCTGCACGAGTCGAATTTTTTTAGGCCTTTAGGCTATTATTTTATTGAAACAGAAAAGAAAAAACAATAAAAAAAGGGAGTTGATGTGCTTTGAAAGGATGTGACAGAGTAAATTGGGCAAATGAACCCCTGTCTCCAAGTTCAGCACCCTGTCAACTCATTTTGGAAGCAATTTTAGGACATTTTTATCATCATTTAAAATTCCATGCAATTCTTCTGTTATTCCCACAACAAAAATGCTTGGTTCCGTAACGCAAACCTCTAAAAATTGCAACCTCCTTAAGTCAAATTATTTTGCTGGTCCCTTGGGACCAGCAAAATAAGAGAGGTTTAATTATATGAAGCGTTCAGACCAAAGGGTGGTTCTCAGTAAAAGTACGTGTTTCTAAAATACTTAAGTGTGCTTTAGATGATAAAAAAGTGGGAAATTATCATTTTGCAAAGTATGACCAACGCGTCTCCCTTTGAAAAGCACTTGATGGAGAACTTCTACGTTCGGATCGAGATGATTGAAATCTTTATAAGCCTTTTTAAAGCACGGAAAGTGCCGTAATGAAAATTTTAACTGCAGTTTTTAATCGTCTCTAGAAATTCCCCTACATGAAACGCGTGTCTCGCCGAGATTGACTACCACATCATTCTGTCCAGTATCTATCATAACAAAGCCTATCAAATACATTTCAAATTCTCGTTACAACCCGTTACTCATATTCTTTGAGTAAATTTTTTCTTTGGAGCCAGCTGCTGAATTAACTCGATTTAATGTGCACATGAAATGGCACAGCGAAGGGATATGTGGATCGTTTCATGCAAGATAAAAAAATTTCCAATCGTGTCTCAATTTTCGTTCAGTTTCTTCTATATAGTGGAAAGGCTACTTACTTTTCAGGGTAGCTGAGAACCGTTAACTTCCATTTTCATGCAGCTATTTTTCGACGTCCGAAAGGAATTTTTAAATATGCAGTGAAGTTTGAAACCTTTTTTTTGAGGAATTTATTTTTAGCATCCTTCATAAATTGAAGTTGCATGGCACATTTTCTGTCACTGTCTGGAGTGAAATCAAGATGAAATCCTGTTTTCTAAGATTTTAGGTCTTGCTTGATACCCCCTTAAACTTGCTCATAACCCCTTAGAAGCAGTGTTGAAAATCTGCAATACTTCCTGTTGAACATGAAATCAAGTTTAAACCCCCTTTCCAAACAAATTTTCAGCAGACGTCATGTGTTGCAGCTGGACTGCACACTTTCTGGAGAGAAATCGAGATGAAAAATCATTTTTGAGGATTTTTCGTGGTTCTTATCGAACTTGCTCAAAACGCCCTTAAAGACTCAATGTTACAATACACGCTTTTGAAAATGAAATCAAGTTGAAAACCTGTTTTTGATCACTTTTTCAGTCGGCTTTATGCATTGAAGCTGCACTGCACACTTGTTGGGAAATTACACACCCACACCAAAAATCTTGTTTATAAAAACCAGTATAACGAATAAAACCACTGGACGTATTCAAAAACCACACAACTTCACCGAACCTAAAAAACCAGTTACCAAGGAAAACCACTCCCCTGAAACAATGAAATCAAGAAAAAATTAAATCTAATCCTTCCTTCCTTTGTCCAGCAAAGAAAAAAGCATTCGCAACCGAAATTTTGGTGTGAGACTTGTGTTCCATTGCTCAGAGAGTTTCGCTGAGTTGTATTCTTTGTTGAATTGTCGCACATTTTGTCGTTTACTTCAAATATTTTCTAAACTCTTTTTCCGGACAATTTGAAATGCAACTTTGAACACTTTTAATTAGAAATAAACCCAAGATTTTCGGCGTTGTCCCAGGCTGATTGAGAGTTTTATTTTTAAATTACTTTTTTCTATTGTTTTATGCATTGTACTTCTTCAAAAAATTTATGCTGCGGTAAGTTATTCACACGAAA